ATAAATTCTCAAGCACAATAGGCTTCCAAAGTAAAACTACTTAAAAGTATAATTTACTCTAGTACTCATCCTTCCGGTTTCATATCAGCCAAGCTTTACTCGGTCAGTTTTAACCAATCACGACACATCGCCAAGTTTTACAAATCAACTATTATAATTGCGTAGCTAGTCTAGTAGAAACACAGTATGGAAGCTCGAAGACCGCTCATCGACCTCGACCTCATCTCGCCGTAAGAAGCTGTATTACTTGTCGGTAATTTGATATGGCGAAACCTTCTTGGTGGTAATAGATTAGGAAAACTACGTAAATTGAGGTATTCAGTTCTGTAGAGCGTGAGCCACCTCCAGCAGACAGTGATAGCTGCTATCAGCCAGCAGCCCGCGGTGACCTCCGACAAGTGGCAATCTTAGATTACCAACACCTGACCTGACATTTACTGGGACACACTGTGACACACATCTCTATCTGTCTCTCAGTCTTACACCATCATTTACCACTGATGCATGTTTTAAATTCGCTCTTTACACTAACGCAGTATCGATATGTGCTGAAGTTATTGAGTCTGCCATTTACTCGTACTCTATCTTACTCTGTGCTTAAAAAATAGTTGCTTTTTACACTAACGTACTAACACTATACATTCATTCTAATGTTTAGTAAATCTAGTACACTAACGTGCTATCAATGTTAAGTGGAACTGTCTTTTACACTAACTTACGAACGACCCGTTGAAGTCAGTCTATTTCTACACTAACGCACTATCAATGTATGCCAATTTCTTCAGTTTATTTTACACTAGCATTGGCTTACTACCCACTGAAGTCCATGCGTTTCTTTTTACACAAAACTACTAGTATCGATATATTGGTAGGTAAATTAATCTCTCTCCTTACACTTAAGCCTACGCACTATCGATATATGTAAAAGCCCATAAATGAGTCTCTAGTTTACACTATTGAACTAACTAACCGCTGAAGTAAATGAGTCTCCTGTTAAACTACCTAACTACTGACGGATGTTATTTTACAGACTAACTTTAGCAGTTGAAGTCAGTCTCTTTTTACACTATATCTTATTATAAAAATATTTCGAAGCCTTCGAATCTCAATTTTACAAACACACCACCGATATATGCTGGAGATAATAAATAATTCTTTAATACACATGTACTTACTATCAATAAACGCAGACGTTACTGATAGTTTCCTTTACCTTTCACACGCCTTCTTAGAATACCGCACGTAACGGGTATAAAGTAGGTTAGCACAGCTAGCTACACTTAATATTTTGTGACATTTATACCAAACAAAACCGGGCATTTTTCACGTTTGTCAATCATCTATGAAGAAGTTAATGTCAAGACTACTATGTATACAGGGTGTTTGTGAACTCTCTCGAAAAAATTCACAGGATTATTCCTTGGGTTAATACATGAATATTTTACATTATAAACATGGGTCGCCGGAGCCTCGTTTTCCGTCAGTCTGTCTGTATGTGTTTTTTATAAATAACCTTATAACTCGAGTATGAATCGAGGTAAAAACTTTAAATTTGACACACTTGTGTATTTTAACGTGATACATAAACATGCAAAATTTCATTTCGATGACTATAGCTTTTTCAAAATGGCGGCCATCTAAAATCTTTGACCTCAAATTACATGAAAACCACTAGAGTTACAAAAAAAACACAAGAATAATATTTAATATGAGGAAATGTAGGAAATTTCATGTCAAATAAAATGACACATAGATCTTAAAGATCAGACAACAAACAGCTGAGTTATTAATTTTTTAAATAATTAATAATTTCTTTACTGGCTTTTAATTGTTATTGTTTATTCTTTAAAATCATCTGATACAGAGTACATTACGTAACCTTAAACAGATCTCAATAGTTAAGGTAAAAATAGGACACTAATTACATTTACCATCTAGTAAAAAAACTAAATGTTGTTGTTAGGGCAAACCAGCTGTCTTACATTGTTGTAACAATTTATAAAGGATCAGATGATTTTAAAGAATAAACAATAACAATTAAAAACCAGTAAAGAAATTATTAATTATTTAAAAAATTAATAACTAAAAAAATCGTCTGATCATCATCTCAAAATCATCTGTCCAACCAGCTGTCTTACATTGTTGTGACAATTTAGAAAGGATCAGATGATTTTAAAGAATAAACAATAACAATTAAAAACCAGTAAAGAAATTATTAATTATTAAAAAAAAATAATAACAAAAAAAAATCATCTGATCATCATTTCAAAATCATCTGTCCAACCAGCTGTCTTACATTGTTGTGACAATTTAGAAAGGATCAGATGATTTTAAAGAATAAACAATAACAATTAAAAACCAGTAAAGAAATTATTAATTATTTAAAAAATTAATAACTAAAAAAATCGTCTGATCATCATCTCAAAATCATCTGTCCAACCAGCTGTCTTACATTGTTGTGACAATTTATAAAGGATCAGATGATTTTAAAGAATAAACAATAACAATTAAAAACCAGTAAAGAAATTATTAATTATTTAAAAAATTAATAACTAAAAAAATCGTCTGATCATCATCTCAAAATCATCTGTCCAACCAGCTGTCTTACATTGTTGTGACAATTTAGAAAGGATCAGATGATTTTAAAGAATAAACAATAACAATTAAAAGCCAGTAAAGAAATTATTAATTATTTAAAAAATTAATAACTAAAAAAAATCGTCTGATCATCATCTCAAAATCATCTGTCCAACCAGCTGTCTTACATTGTTGTGACAATTTAGAAAGGATCAGATGATTTTAAAGAATAAACAATAACAATTAAAAGACAGTAAAGAAATTATAAATTATTTAAAAAATTTATAACTCAGCTGTTTGTTGTCCGATCTTTAAGATCTATGTGTCATTTTATTTGGCATAAAATTTTCTACATTTTGTTATTCTTGTGTTTTTTTTTCGTAACTCTAGTGGTTTTCATGTAATTTGAGGTCAAAGATTTTAGATGGCCGCCATTTTGAAACGACTATAGTCAACGAAATGAAATTTTGCATGTTTATGTACCACGTTAAAATACACAAGTGTGTCAAATTTAAAGTTTTTACCTCGATTCATACTCGAGTTATAAGGTTATTTATAAAAAACACATACAGACAGACTGACGGAAAACGAGGCTCCGGCGACCCATGTTTATAATGTAAAATATTCATGTATTAACCCAAGGAATAATCCTGTGAATTTTTTCGAGAGAGTTCACAAACACCCTGTATAATATGTATACATATGATCTATAAACTACTTGAAAGGATGTATACGCTATTGTTTAGGTATAACGTAATACTAATTATTCAAAGAAGAGTTGGATTGAAAAGTTTTAAGTTACGTGGGATTTATACCTCCAACGCCGGACATAAAGAAATCAAGGTTTAAATTAATCCAACAAGTACCTAGCTTAAAAGATATATTTTCATGAAAATCGCAAACCTAGAAAAAAAGACGTTACAGTTAGCGGTATGGGACCATTCATTTGTTGGTAATGGCGGTTTTAATTCCATGGTATATGTGGATGGGTACAGGGCTAAGATACCGCACCTATGGTCCAATTTTGAGGAAATTTTGTGCGAGGGTACTAATCCCATGGCATATCCAGGCGTTTTCATTTTTGATATATTCATTTTCAACGGGCGTGATTTCTCCATTAAAGCCTATAAAATGACGAAATAAACTAAAAATTTTAAAACGACCCAAGACATTTGGATTAAAATTTAGTAGGCTGTATATTATAGTCCTTTCGGCTCTTAACAAGAAGATGACCTCCATTACCCCCATATCTGTAAACATTACGGATTAATTGATATGCTACATTAATGATTTTCCCCATAAATTAAATAGAGGAAAATATATTTTTTGCAACAACCACTGAACTACTTGATGAATTTTGATCAAAATTGCGTATGTGATAGTCCTTTTAACTCTTAAGCAAAATATTACAATCCCTATTGCTATAAAAAATACGGGTTAAAAGCAAATTTTGTGATTTTCCCCATAAGTTATCAAAGTGACCGTCACCGCTTACCCATGTGCCATTAGGTGTTGTTGACAAGCTGTTGGGAGAAAGCATGTGTCAGATTGCTGATACAGTTTATTTTCCAATCTAGTCCTTAAAAAAGTATGTATCCCCTGATAATGAAATTGTAGAACAGAATTGACTCGGTTTTCTAATGATGAGGTATAGTTATTTATTTTCTCATAAATGGTCTCAGTTAGATGATAATCTAAAATGTTAACTAAATATTTGTTTTTAAACTCATAAAAATGTCAATACAATTTGATTTATGTAATGTGTATTTATTTATATTATTTTTCATCATTTTATTATTGTAATTACTTTTATATAACGATCTACTCCTTGGATCCTTGTATTCCTTTGAATTTTGATTCTCGAACTAAATCTCGTCATCATTGAACTGTACTTATAACTATATCAACTCCTACATTTACTAACCATATTTTGACATAATCATATCAATAAGATATGATAATTGGCATATGTTCATGATGCCAATTATATTAATCGTAGTCTTGTTATTTGTCCTAGGAAGCTAGGCATGAGCCCGACTTTTTCCATATTAACTTTAGGCCAGACCTAGGGGTTGCGGATTATAATTGTGATTAAATCCATTAGTGATTTGGTGGGATTTGAGCCCGGGACCTGAGGGACCAAAGTCCCGCGTTCTACCACTAGACCAGCTCGCTCCCCAGTCTTATTTTTATAGGCTACGGAGTGAAATGTATGTTTACCTACTAAGTTTACCTCAATTTAACACGTAACTCCTTGCTCGGTGACAGACATTTTTTCAACTGTGCTATATTTATTAGTAATTTTAAGTACGATATGAACAAATTATTTTTTTTATAATCTCAAGAAGCAAATTTGTGGTGATCGAATCATCCTGATTACATTAAAATTAGTACTATGAAATGTTGTAAATAAATAAGTTTACCAGAATTGTCGGCGGGCTCCTGAGCTCTAACGGAGCACAGTAACAACACCACACTGTACACTCCCCACACTGCGTCCATGGCACTCACTCTCCACTCACTGACTGACTGACTGACAGACACAGACTGACTGAGTGAGTGAGTGACTGACCTAGACGGGGATAGGGGACCGCTGTGTGACAGGGGTAGCTGTTCAAAGCAAATACCTAAAGGTAAACAAATGTATTGTGTAAGCCTACCAACACAGACGTGGGAACCCGTGAGAAAATTGGACATTTTAACAGAGTTCAAAACTTCTATCGAGAAATAACGAATAATGCAATGTACAATATTACCTTTCAAACATTATGTTTGTTTAGTTCCCGCAGAGAACCTACACTATTATCGGATGAAGTTTTCATTCGATGTAATGTAAAAATTATATAAAATATTTTATTCGATGTAAATAGGCTATTTATATTTTCTGTCCTTTGTTACGAGCATATTCAAGAAGAGTGCGCTAGGGTGTATAGGTAAGGCAAGTTTATAGGTATTCAGTTTATGATAGTGTAAAACCAAAAATTAAAATATTTTACCCTTTTATAGACTTGTGAAAAAGAGGACTCGAATACAAATTGACGTCTTTGTAAAGTTATCTCTTAAAGAAATTACACATCATATTAACTTTGATTTTTATAAATGTAACCTTGTTTGTTATTCTCATAAACTAAACCAAACTGAACGAAACTAACATACCCTAACCACCCGCCACAAAACAGAGTAAAAAATCAGTAAATTAGAGTAAATAGGACGAGCGAAAAAAGGGTGCTACAGAGAAAGCCCTTATTGTATAATACAGAGAAACCCATTATTGTATAATACAGTGAACCCCCTTAATGTATAACACAGAGAAACCCCTTATTGTATAATACAGTGAACCCCCTTAATGTATAACACAGAGAAACCCCGTATTGTATAATACAGAGAAAATCCTTAATGTATAATACAGAAAAACCCCTTATTGTATATAATACAGAGAAACCCCTTATTGTATAATACAGAGAAACCCCGTATTGTATAACACAGAGAAACCCCGTATTGTATAATACAGAGAAAATCCTTAATGTATAATACAGAGAAACCCCTTATTGTATAGTACAGAGAAACCCTTATTGTATAATACAGAGAAACCCCCTTATTGTATAATACAGAGAAACCCCTTATTGTATATAATACAGAGAAACCCCTTAATGTATAATACAGAGAAACCCCCTTATTGTATAACACAGAGAAACCCCTCATTGTATATTACAGAGAAACCCCTTAATGTATAATACAGAGAAACCCCTTATTGTATAGTACAGAGAAACCCCTTATTGTATAATACAGAGAAACCCCCTTATTGTATAACACAGAGAAACCCCGTATTGTATATGACAGAGAAAATCCTTAATGTATAATACAGATAAACCCCTTATTGTATTTTATACAGAGAAACCCCTTAATGTATAATACAGAGAAACCCCCTTATTGTATAACACAGAGAAACCCCTTATTGTATATTACAGAGAAACCCCTTATTGTATAATACAGAGAAACCCCTTATTGTATAGTACAGAGAAACCCCTTATTGTATAGTACAGAGAAACCCCTTAATGTATAATACAGAGAAACCCCCTTATTGTATAACACAGAGAAACCCCTTATTGTATATTACAGAGAAACCCCTTATTGTATAATACAGAGAAACCCCTTATTGTATAGTACAGAGAAACCCCTTAATTTATAATACAAAGAAACCCCTTATTGTATAATACTGTACAGAGAAAATCCTTAATGTATATTACCCTACAACAAGAGTTTTCTCTGTAGCCCCCAATGATGAGATTGATTTGTGTATATAATATGAAGAAAATTAGTACAAATGTACTGTACTGTATAAATGAGTAAATAATTTTTTAGAGTTGCATCTAATTCAAAATGTTATTTAAATGTTGCCATATCCTGTATGTGTATACCTAATGCACAATAGTGCTTGTCCGATTGCTTCAACGTAGTAATATAACAACACACTGAATGAGAACGCAGGAGAGAAGAAAATGAGCTCTTCGTTCGAAACAAATGACATTAACACTGGACATAGAAAAGTTAATTGTGTTGAAAAAATGATGAAATCTCTAAAATATATTTTCATTGCACTGTCTCAAAAAGATGTTTTACTCGGACTTTCATAACAAAAAGAGTCTCTTAAGAGTTTAATTCAATGACATGACGATTAGCCAGTGTGATAGAATTCAATTACAGTAATCATTTTCCGAGACGTTTACGTTGTGAAAACATTGTTTTAGATGCACTGTAATTTCACATTGTGGTGTTTATTATCCCTATCACGGAACTTTGGAATGATAAAACTTTGATGGAATGAGAAAAATCTGTAAGCTAAAAAAATGTTAATATAAATGTGCTAGATTTTATGTATACAGAATACTAGCAGAGTACCCGTACTTCGTACGGGGTTGGCATATAAGTATAAAATTGTTATTGCAGTTATACTCAAGCTTTACGTTTGCAATGAGGGAGGACACAGTTTAATGAAATTTGCTTCTTTAAATTTACAGGATTCTATAGTATGACACATCTACCATAGCCATAATGTTCTACCACTTCACCTAAACAATAGAGAAAAATAAATTATCAAACATTCGCAAAATATCGCAAATTATTCACGAAGTTATAAATATAAACATAACTGTAAACAATCCTACTTTGACTTATTGCGTAGATTGTGTATCACATTTTTTTGTTGCTGCTTAGTTCAAATTAGCTGTTTTCATAAATGCAAAAAAAATATAGTGCTGCACCCTGTTGGTAAATCTTATAACTTTTCTATGCTTTTGTATACCATAGAGCCAACTTTTTTAGTTGAATCAGCTGACTAAATTCTTCAATTCCCTTTAAATGTGAATACTCGTTAGAATAACATGGGGAATTACAGAGCCACTGAGGCGGAGCCCGAAAGGATTTTTGAGATAAGAATATGCCTATACGTTAATCGGGAATGTGAGCTATCATCATGCCAAATTTCAGCTCAATTTGTCCAGTAGTTAATGCGTGATTGAACTTCAAACAAACAAACAAACACACAAACTTTCACATTTATAATATTAGTAAGATAAGATAAATTTCAGCTCAATACTCGAAAAGCTGAGGGGTTATGTTATAAGCAATATCTTTTACTATAGTCAATGATAATATTTTATAAAACTGTTCAAAATTGATTACATACAAATGTACGATTGCTTTCATAAATGCACACAGCTGCAAGTTTTCTGACTAAATAGCATCTTCCTTTTTTACACGAGGTATAAGACTCAACTTTAGTAATGTAGGCTACCTAATATTAAATACAAGCATTCTAACAGAAAACGTTATCAGTAACATTTAGTTTACTCTTAGTCGTGCAAACTATAGCACTGGATTTTCTATAATTGTTTGCTTATTTGGAAATGTAGTTTCATAACGATGTATACTTAGGTAATACTTGACAAATATTTGACTGATATGAAATCAGTAAACCAGCCTCTTAAGCGGTTTAGGTTTAGTAGCTGTCAATCCGTACTCAATCGTACACTACCTTTACAGCGCAATAACCAGAATAAGTAAAAATGTTGCCTCAAACTCGTATTAGTAAGAGAAACTATCTATGTAAGTGTTTGTTGTTAACTTTTCATGTTATCACTACGGTATTTGTAGATGGGGACGCCTCTAATGGAAAATGAGTCCATGATGAACTGTGATGTAAGGAGAAGAGGGATGATCTGCTTAGTTTTATTAAAGATTAAAACATGGCGTTGCCCATTATTAAAATATATTTTAAAATCTCAACAATAAAGTACAACTGGGTCCGGTTTTCGAACCATCAAAGAGCTCCTGAATTCCCCATGATTAAACCGGCAACCTTTTGATTGAAAGAGAACAGTGCAACCGGTGATAGCCCAACTCCTCGCAGTGGTAAAATTTAAGCCAAGGAAAGGTTCTATGGCCCACGAAAGGTCCAGTCCAACTCAGCGCGGCAGTCCCATCCAATCTCTACGCTACCTCTTGTTGTTACTCCTCTTGAATGAGATATGAAGCATTTAACAGAAAATATTCTATATATATATAATGTGTTTCCCAAAAGTAATTTTACACAAAAGTATGTACAAAAGTAAGTAATGTTAGCTTTTATTTGTTCATAACTACTTTATTGATATGACGAGTTAGGTTAGGTTAGGTATTGATTGTGTATTGTAGACTTTGGAACATATAAATTCACAGTCACTCTTTCTCATGGAGTTGCACAGTTGGTTTTGACAGATTTCTGACGACCGCGCGGAGTTGGGATAAGCCCGGGGTTCCCCGGGATAAGCCCCTGTTCAATCTGCTACCCGGCTACAAATTAAATATATAGTGTATTATACAATATGAAGCTAGTACATAATTATAGCTTCTTTACCTGTTGTATATTATTTAAACATTATTTCGTTTGTAAATAGCTTATGAGAGATCAGTCTGTTGTATGATTTTGTTGCAACAGTGATCGGCCACAGACAATGAGATGTCTGATCGCAGATTATGACGCCTGCTGGGACCGTGATTTGATGCCAATGATAACCGATGTGCTGAGTAACCTTGTTTTGTCACCGTAATTAGTTTACCCACTCGAGCTACGTCCCACCGTCGCGACGTCACAACTGTGTACATCTAAGACATTCATTGACTATTGTTGCCAATAGTGTTGCAACTTCAGGTCACATACCTAGGGCTCCAAGATATCAACACCTGGTTTATGAGTAATACAATTTTGAATGCAATCTTCTTTGTAACAATTACAATAACACAGATAGTACTCAACTATAAGTGTTTCTGTACAGTTGCATAATGGTAATATATTGTTCACTACAGTATTATGAATAGGACTTAATTTGTAATTTTTTTACGTTTTAAGCAATATAAGAAAACAATTAACCTCTGCACGAACCACGACAACCCCTTTAAAGTAATGTACTGAAATATCCACGCTCTTGTAATCATGATTAAAATAATAGTTTCCCTATACTGGGTTTGATTTCATATAATATACCTTTGAGACT